ATGTATATAATTTATGAAGAACGGATGCAGAATGAGGAAATAAATAAATATATCAACAATACATTCACAACACAACACAAAATCTAAATTTGTATATACTATCAATAAAAAATATTAATACAAAAGTAAAGTTTCCATTGCCAGTGCGCAAACAAAGTAAAACCGATTATTGAAGTAACACAGTGCTTAACACCTAATAGGCACTGCACTTGCCACAAGTATTTACTCGGTAAATTGGTTTGTTTTAGTTCCTAATACCGACTTCGTCCTCCTCTATTAGAAGGCAAAACCGGGCAAGAGGCAAATAAGGTAAACCGTCGTTCGTGTTGAATAGGTGGCAGCACCGCTGGAATGCGGGGTCAAAGGTGGAGATCTCTTCGTTCTGGCGTAATTAAGTCTCCCTGCGATCGTAGCGCTCCCTACAACTAATAGATATAATAACGGGGCGGGGAGCTAGGTAATTGCCAGGTACGGTTCTGATTTATACGTATACTCTCCGATGAGGAGGCCATGAGACCAACCGACTTCCATACTAACAACTACCTACCAGAATATTTTTTATTTGGTAAGTAAGCTCAAACTCGAGTTCGGTTTAGTCAAATACTGTTGTTGTTTACATAATGAACGTTACCGACCGTTTATTCCTGAATCAATGAGTTTCTTTAGATACCTATAAAATTCATAGATTTTGTATTAGTTCGTAGGTTGAATTTAGATTATATATATTTTCCAGATGATTAAAAAAATTGCAATAACTAATATTCATAGAATCTTTTTTATGGCTTAAAACACAAAAAGATGTCAATTTCGTTTGAAGCACTCATGTCATGTCATTAAGAGTGTTCAATGTTATTAATTATTATTGACAAACTTGTTGTGGTTTTCCACAAATTATAGTATCAGAAGCAGAATTTATTTGTATAAATATAATTTGGTAATAATATTTAAATTCAAATTGATATTCAGTGTTCATTACCATATTATAATTTTTAAGATCAAAGTGTGGTTAAAATAGATGAAAAATACTAGGTTAAAGTGATTCAAAATGTTAAATTTTAATAAAAATAACTTTAATGTCGTAGAAACGATCAATAATTACACATCTTTGAGAAACATGGAGGAAAATGAAGAATATACCAGGTACTAGAAGTAGAAAATAAATCGTCAATAACAAACCATGCAGAAATCTTAGAAAAAATAGCGGAAACATTCAAGTTAACATCCACAAATTCTAACTATGATAAAGATTTCCTAACATACAAATAACAAAAAGAAAATATCCCTATTAACGTAGTAAACAATAATGAACCTATAAATGCACTTATCACAATAAGAGAACTAAGAGAGATGGTAGATTATTTAAAGGACACATCCCCTGGTCCCGATGATATCCCAGCTTCTTTTTTAAAACACCTACCTGATGAAGCAGTAAAAATATTATTAAAAATATATAATCGTATATGGACCAAACATGAATTTCTCAATTTATGGAAGATCGACTACCGACAATTTAGTAGATGTAGAATCACATATACTTCATCTAATTTAGATAACGACTTACGTCATTATCTACGTCAGAGATCGAAGTTGACATAGTTGCCAAAGTATAAAAAAATCCTGACTCCGTTTTAAATCAAATAGATTACATAATTATTGCAAAAGTATTACCATCTCTTTACAACGACTATTTAAATTCTTACGTGACATTTTTGAAATAAAACACACTAATTTTGTTCTAAAAAGAACAGATTTTATTAAATAGTTGAAAATATAAAACAAGAGATATTCACTTTAAAATTCAAAATAATGAAGTACAAAAAGTGTCAACACCGCAACAGTCAAATAAGTGTTACCAATTTATGCCAAAATTTTACCTTCGTTCGATTACAGTTACAGTGTGATCCGAACAAATGTTCTTGATAATAACGCTTTATAATGCATTTATACAAATTCAATGAAACATATTATTGTGTATTTCTTTAGGTTAACATCAATAGAAATTTTTAAATATTATTTCTACGCGTTTATAATGAAATATGTCTAGTGGCTGTAATGCCAGTGTACTCGGTAAAGTGATTATAAAAAAGAACACACCTACACCCTAAATATTTTGTGTTCGTATCATGTGACGTCACAGGCTATGACGCCGATGACGTGCATCGTTATATAAATTAGATGAAGTGTATTAATAACGCAGTCTACAACAACCAAAAATGTATTACAATTTATTTTGATTTGCACAATGCATTAATATGGCTTGGCATCACAAGATAATAATTTCAACTGGAATCATGGGGTTATCAAGGAAATATACTTGCCTTTATTAAAAATTTTCTACTAAATAGAAATTTCAAGGTAAAAGTAAACGGTCTTCTATCTAATGTGAGATATCAAAAAAATGGTACACCTCAAGGCTCGGTAATCAGCCCAACGGTTTTCCTTATAGCTATTAATGATATAATCAAATCAATGAACAAACTAATTCAAGCAAGATTGTATGCGGATGATCTTACAATATTCTTAAATGGAAACAATATACAGAATATTTCCAAATTACTGCAAGATCAACTCGATAAATTTATAGCATGGTTTAAAAGGAGTGGTTTTCAGTTTGCTTCATCTAAAACTCGCTGCATCACATTCTCAAAGAGACCAAAACAGATAAAATAAATACCTACTTTAAAACTTTGGGGTCAAACCATCGAGCAAAAAGACAAAAGAGGGAATCTAATCGTTATGAAAAGGAGACCAAAAAAGTGGCCTCTGATGGCGGACATATCCGGAAATGCAAAGGCGCTAAATTTAAATTTTCCTACACTTATTAACAATAGCTATAAAATATTTTTCAGACGAGAAAACTTTAATTAAATATTAACGATAATAGTCTAAAAAGTGACACAATTGGTAAAAAACTTCAATATAAATAAAATTTCATGTGACAGTTGGGCCAAACAATAACATAACCAAACTAAATTTGATTTCTTAAACAAAGAAAGAGACTGTCTTTCCTTGTTTAAAGTGGCCTCTCAAGATAGCACTTCCTGTCTAACAATATTTTTGTCCCCACTACCTTTACATTCCCTCTTTTGTCTTTTTGCTCGATGGGTCAAACACTTGAATATGTAAATACAATTAAATAAACAGGTTTAATATTTGATCAAGCTCTAACCTGGAAGGACCACATCAAATATGTATCAGCTATATATCAAACAAGACTAAATCTCTTGAAATATCCACACTTACTCGTCTGCTTCAACAAACTCTAAAAGTTTTAGACACCATTCAAAATAACGTCTTAGAATAATAAGTGGTGTATTTAGAACAACCCTTATCTTAAGTCTTCAGGCCAAACTCGGTGAACTACTATTAGATTTAAGAACACAGGAATTAATGCTCTCTTATGCATAGAAGCGGTACTCTTTACAATATCACCAAACCATTCGCTGCTCGAATATTCAGCACGCAAAAATCCACATTGCCTTTTACAAAAGATGCAGACGGATCATAAATAAATTAATCCTTAAAGTCCCCGAAATATATCCTAGCAAAATGCCAACTTGCCCTCCTTGGCTAATATTTTCTCCTCGCATAAATTTTGATCTATTATCAGAAAATAAGAAAGAAAGCAATCGTTATCTAATTAATTCTCAATATCAAACCTTAAGTTCTCAATTTTCTTCCTTTAAATAGCTATTCACAGATGGATCTAAAACAGAACGTTGTGTAGCATCTGTCATTGTAACAAAGGATGAAATAAAGAAATATAAACTAGCGGAGACTAATACTATTTTAACAGGAGAACTTTTTGCAAATACTCACTAAGTTCTCTAGAAATCATCTCAAAAATCTATTCTTCCCATCCTGTGGCCAAAGTCATTAAACAAGAATTGCACAACCTAAATCACATTGCTAAGAAACATTGCTTTCCTGTGGCCATCTCATATTAGAATCACGGGAAACGATCTGGCGGATAAATATGCGCACGAAGCCGTAGAGGACACAACTATTAAGTTGTGTCCAGCGACAGATCTCAAATCATATTTCCACACAAAAATAATCAACATATGGAATAACAGATGGCACAAAAAGCAGGCAAAATTACTTGGGATAAAACCAATATTTCAACCATGGTCTGATAGTTCACCAATCGTTTTTCTCAGGTTACCATCACACGACTGCGGCTTAGTTATCGCCTTACGCATGGACATCTGATGACAAGGGATCCCAAACCGGAGTGTTGTGCTTGCGACACCTCGCTAACAATAAAACACCTTCTAGTGGAGTGCCCGTTACACAATGCGGAAAGATGTAAATTCGAAATCTCGGAGAATTTGAGAGAACTATTCTTAAAGTGCGGTGCCAAAGTGATTATCCAATATCTAAAAGCAATAAACTATTTATACAAAACTTAATTGTTACACTATTCAATTATTGTTAATACTTTTTCTTTTTCCGCTAATAGCCTTACAGGCTGATGCGAGTTTGTTAATAAAAAAAAAATAACTTTAGTAACCTTCTTAAAATCTCGAAAAATATTTCTTATTAAATATTCTACATTTCTAGCAATTATTTGTTCAAATCACATTATTAATGTTAAACTTTAAAGAATTATTTCGATGTACGTCGATTCAATCGAAAAACTACCCTATGCGTATAATAAATACTAAAGAGTCTCGACAAACCCAGGACATATTTACAGCCCTTCTATGCAAATCTTTTGAGACAGTTCAGCAGATGGTAAGTCGAACAAATGAAGACGTTAAGAAATGTTTCAATTGAATTTGTGGTGAATTCATTGCCCCGCTGGCACTTTATTCCACTCATCGTGAATATATCAAGAAATGTCACACGAATAAATCTCCTGCTTGATATGGGCATTTCTTGATGACCATATTTCTGCGTGTACGTCAGAAGTGACTCTACGACAGTTAACTTCTATGTCGGAGGATTTTATTTACAAAGGAAAAAATACAAATCTTAGATTCGTGGCAGTTGTATGTTTACCAAAAGACTAAAAAATAAAAAATTCTCATAGTTTGATTATACTCATACAAGTATTATATATATATATATATATATATATATATATATATATATATATATATATATATATATATATATATAACTATTAAGTTCTATCCAAAAACTCCAGCGACAGATCTCAAGTCATATTTCCACAGAAAAATAGTCAACATATGGAATAGCAGATAGCACAAAAACAGGCAAAATTACTTGGGATAAAACCAATATTTCAACCATGGATAGTTATACCAATCGTTTTTCTCAGGTTATCATCACACGACTGCGGCTTAGTTATAGTCGCCTTACGCATGGACATTTGATGACAAGGGATCCCAAACCGGAGTGTTATGCTTGCGACACCACCTCGCTAACAATAAAACACCTTCTAGTGGAGTGCCCGTTACACAATGCAGAAAGATGTAAATTCGAAATCTCAGAGAATTTGAGAGAACTATTCTTAAAGTGCGGTGCACTTATGCACTTATATTTATATATATATATATATATATATATATATATATAAAAGACTAGGGAAGAAAACTCACACTGTTTGTCTCCTAGCTCCACCAAGGAAAGAAATCTAAACTACCAACTAACATATTAATCTAATAAGTCAATCATATTTTGTACTTAAATTGATACGTTTAACTAATAATATTAATATTATTAATAACACATTAATATAACTAATATTACGATTAATTTTTTCGCAAAATTGACAAAAATATTGGTTGCTGTAGTCTAAGATAAGATTTAATAAACAAACTAATTTAAAGTTTTACATTAGTTTAGATTAAAACACCTAACGCCACCTAGAGAAGAAATCTGAAATACCAACAACTCTGATAGACAAAATGTAAAATACTTATTTGCCGAATAAAAGTACCGAATAAGTTGGCTACATTGGGCGCCATGTCGTCTCAGGAAGAGAAGAACTCTTAAATTGTCCACTCTCCTGTACGCTCTGCTTAGGGGTTTCGTGTATAGTGTACAAAGTACCCCTTGGCACTTACCCAATGTATATTAGGATATGTCGGACTTGTCGAATTTCTTACATGTGAAATAATTTGTAGAAGTTGTAGAAATACAACAAGTTTGAGGTAGCAAAAACTAGCTACAGAGTCTAGAAAAGTGTGGTAGAACTGGGGCAGAGCCCCAACCGGCGACCCTCTAGAGTGTACAATGCTCTAGAGGGTAAGGCCGTGGTTAGTAGACTGATCCTGACTTGAAAATTGTGCAAATATTTATACACAATTTCCAAGTCAACGTGAGCGAGGCGATGCCCATTAAGTGCGTGCTATTGGTCAATAGACTAGGGCACTTGATGACACAATATTATACAAACCATCGAAAACATCTTCCACAATCGAATACTGGCAAAGATAAATGGAAAACTAGCACAGTGTATACCAGTAGAAAGCGGAGTCAGACAGGGTGACTCATTAAGCTCACTTCTCTTTAATATAATAATGGACGAAATAATACATGCAGTACGTAAAGGTCATGGTTACATAATGAGAAACAAAGAAATCCTAATACTATGTTATGCAGACGACGCCGCATTAATCGCCGAGACAGAAGACGTTCCAAAGATTAACACACATCTTTAATAAAACAGCCAAAAACGAAAACAATATGATATTATGAGCAGAAGAAACCAAATGTATGACATCTAGATAACAACGTCTACGATGTAAAATCGCAATTGATGGCAAAATAATAAAACAGGAAGCAAGTTTTAGATATCTGGGAATAGATATAACTAGTTACGGAGATGTTGAAGAAGAAGTACAACAATAATTAAAAGTAAGTAAAGCGATGGAATCTCTTCATGACACAATTAGGAAGAACAAACACGTAAGACAAGACAAAAAAACAAGAATGTATAAAGCAACAATTAGGTCTATATTAATACGACGAAGACAAGACCTGACACAGCTAAAAAGAGACGACTACGAGAAACAACAGAGATGAAAATACTCCTACGAATATCAGGGAAGAGTCTGTTGGATAGAGAAAGAAGCGACAACATAATAAGAGCATGTAATACAAAAGACATAAATGGACGCGTGAGAAAATGGAAACAGGAGTGAAGCGAACACATTAGTAGAATAGCAGTGGATAGGACAGAACGAATAGCACGAGAAATGGACGAAGAAGTATTGGCAGACCAAGATTTTTCTGGTAGAGATGGTGTGACAATTTAAACAATTTAGGAGGCTAATATTGAAGAAGAAACGGGCTTTACAGCTTACATATAAGAAGAAAGAAGAACAGGAAGAAATGTTACGGAGAAACCACAGAAAAATCATTAATATACATGTATCATTTTTTTATTCGTCATTAAATTTTTCTTTACATAATTTAATTTATTCCTGCCACCACAAAATGTATAATCAAAAGAAATATTGCAGTAGTGTGATTTCTTTGACAACTAATTAGATATTTGTGTGTTCCGAAATAAATTTTGCGTTTATCTTACAGATCAGTAAACGCAACATTGTTAAGAGAGACCAGACGTGGATGTTTCATTTTATTCTTAAACGAAAAAACGATCTAAACAGTGGAGTCATCTGGGGTCACCAGTCGCAAAGAATTCAAACGAAGTTTTGCTTGCAAATTCATGACCAATATTTTTGGGATTGTTAATTAGGTAATATATTTCGTGGAACCTAGAAAAAAAATCAACTCAGACAATTATTAAGAAAAACTATGAAAGCTCAGTTAACCCATTATTACCTAGCGTGTCATATATGATACAGAAAATTTTACGGTATTTAAAAATTTATTTTAGATTCTCTGAAAGGTTTAGATGTTTGCAACCACCATTACACATTAGTATTTTATGTTGCCAAACTGATGGTGTACACTTATTTCATATTTTGTGAAAGGTGTATGTACAGTTTAATAACCTAAAAAGTGTTGAAAAAATTGTAAGAATAAATATGGCCAGTTCTCGACCGTAAGTAAATAATTTCTATATTTTTCAATACTAACGTTTTATTTTTATTATGAGTATCAAATGAGGTATAAAGAATGGTATGATAACTGCAGTTTAGTTTAATTATATTTTGTAATTATTTTATAAGCCTGTGTTCATTAGCGTACCATATATGACACACCAGGCTAAACGGGTCTGTTTTTTTTTTAGTTTGACTCTTAAAGAACTTACGGACATCATTGAATCTGACGAATGGTGAGAAGACGATGATGTTTCTAAAATATATATAGCCCCACCGGACGAACACAATGTGTCAGATGAAGATTCAGCTGATGAAGACTCTGGAGGTTTGTTAGACAATTTGTCAAGTCATCAGTTACAAGCACAAGCCGAAGCTTATTCCGTAAGCGGTAGAAGGATAAGTTATAAACAGCATGAAGAAAATTTACCAACTACTTGTCACACTAAACAGAATAAAGAAAATATAATATATAATTGGGCAAAAGATACAGATTTCGCATGTACCCTGAGAAACAACAATTTTCCAGAACATAATTTTACACAATATCGAGATAAGGCTGCTGTTGATATTTTTGAACAATTTTTTGATGATGAAGTTATAGAATATTTAGTAAACGAAAGTAATAAATATGCGTTATTCATAAATTGTCCGAATCCAAAGATTACCTTGGGCGAAATGAGATGTTTTCTTGGTATACTCATTGTTTCTGGATATTGTGATCTTCCTTCTAGAAGAATGTTTTGGGATTCAGGTGAGGATGTAAGAATCAATATGGTCTATCAAGCTATGAGACGTGACCGTTTTGATCAAATTATGAGATTCTTGCACTGCAGTGACAATACAAACCTACATAAAGATGACAAAATGTGTAAACTTAGACCTTTGATGAATTTATTAAAAGACAAATTTATAAAATATTTTGTACCCGAAAGAGAAATTGACTATGATGAGTCAATGATTGAATATTTTGGTCTTCACGGATGCAAACAATATATCCGTGGCAAACCAATACGTTTTCGGTACAAAGTTTGGTCTCTCAACACTAAAAAAGGATATTTGATCAATTTTGAAGTGTACCAAGGATCCACTTCAAATGCCAATGCGGATGATCAAAAACGGTATGGTAAAGCAACAGCACCTCTCATATCACTTATAAATGATCTAGATATTGAAGTCAGAGAGCTACCGTTCAGATTTTATTTCGATAATTTGTTTACTTCTATGAATTTGCTTGCATACATGACAGAACATAATTACGGTGGAACTGGAACAATTAGAGAAAATCGCGTTCCTAAGACTTGCCCTTTGAAATCGGTAAAAGAAATGAAGAAGAAGATGGATAGGGGAACATACGACTACAGCGTATCAAAAAATGACTCGATTGCCATTGTACGATGGAAAGACAATTCCGTTGTCACTGTGGCATCTAATGTTCATGGGGTATTTCCTCTAACCTCAGCTAACAGATATTGTGCTTCTCAAAAGAAAAAAATAGCAATTCCACGACCTGACACTATAACCCAATATAACAACTACATGGGAGGCACTGATCAGATGGATGCTAATGTCAATGTGTATCTGATTGGAATTAGAGGGAAAAAATGGTGGTTTTCCATCTTCACGTGGTTATTGGATGTCAGCATTCAGAACGCGTGGGTTTTAGCCAGAAGTACTGGGAAAAAAATTTGCCAACTTCAGTTTAGAAGGGAAATAGGTCAATGCTACTTATCAAAATACACAAATCCACCTAAAGGAGCCGGTCGTCCTTCAACATCTGCTGGGATCTCTAGAGTTCACGAAAATATTCAGTATGATCGTTTTGATCATTACATTGAATACGTGCCTAATTCCAAACGAAGACGTTGTGCAGGGACTAATCATGTAGGCAGTGCCGTACGAACGCAGTGCCAAAAATGTGATATTGGGTTATTACTTGTTTTGCTTCCTTTCATAGAAAAAAATAGTTTATATTTTTTTTGTCTATTTTTTAAAAGTTTAATTTTCTTACGTTTAATTTTCTTTTTTAATAAATTTTCGAAAAAAAAAATGTTATTTAAACATACCTTAAAATCCTAGCGTTCCATATAAGGCACGGCCTCTAACTCAAAAAATATTTAAACAAATGAGCTTGTTTAAGTTATAAATTGCTTAGAATACGTGTCTCATGTGTTTATCTAAAATTTACTACTGTAACTTAAAAAAAATAATTCAGGCATTAATGGGTTAAGCTATCCAGAAACCGGCGATTACAACTGTTAGACAATATAACGCTGCTTTGCCATAACGCTCGACTTCACGACTCCCGTCTTTGGACCTAGCGTCTAATGACTAGTGGATAGGAATACTTGAGTGGCCAACGCTTCCTTAGCGACAATGGATACTTTTGGTTCAGAGGCAGAAGAAACTGATGTGACATATTATTACAATAATAAGGAGGGCCAAAAAATCCCTCTTCTTATTATTGTATTGCACTCTCGCTTGCATGTACGAGCTCCATAGCATCAAAAATCATGAGCATTCTCTTCTTTTTTACTCAACTTTCAAGTCGGCTTCCGTAATTGTATATCTGTTATCTGTATAACCCTTAAGTTTCCTTTACCACAACGCCTTTTCTGACTTATCATACCATGACCTTTCCAGGCCTTTCTCTTTGATCCCTTTCAGACACTTGACACTCAATGATATTTATTTTGGCGTTATTACTTTTAACCGGAAGTTTTTAATTTTTGAAATAATTTATGTGGTACCTAAACTTCGCCTAATATATTTATTTCTAATTTTATACTTTTGTGTCACAACAATCGTCTGGATCGGACACGCGTTTAGGATGTCTTCTGCGGTAGGTATCCATTCTCCTTAATTAGCGACGAATTTGGCATCTGTGCACTTCCTTTTTAATCATATCTAATAAGAATATCTGTTTAACATGAAAACGTTTACGTAAATTTCAATCCTCCGAGAACCCCTCTTTCATTATGTAAACAAACGACCGGTCGCTCTTCACTACGACTAACATAAAAGGATCTTAAAAATAATTACTTCTAATCACCTCGCCTGTTTACTAATAAGTCATGTTGTGTTTACAATTTATATATACAACATTTTCTAAATGCCACTCCTTTCTTGAGTATCTGAGTATTTTAATAAGAGTATTGTGGTGAGAGACGAAGACCAGCTTCCAATTACTCGACTGCATGAAATTCTAATGTTCTATTCAGGATGATACGTATATAGATTAGGTGTGTTTTTTTACACAAGTCTGTGAGGAGGTCTGAAAACAGTTCATGTTTGGATAAATTTTTACTGAGAGATTTATTTATGGTTTTTAACGAATTAATCTGTTTTAGTTAAATGATACAATTTTGTCGTATTTCAGTTACCGGAAAAAGTTTACAAGCCTCGCTCTGAAAAGATAAGTTTTCAAACCACAAAACTATGATTAACTAAAAACTCTTTTTGAAAATTTAAATTAATGATATTAACACTAAAATGAATCGTCTTCTTCTTCTTCAGCCTTCAATTATCCATTGTTGGACATAGGCCTCCTCCAATTGCTTTCACGCTTCCCTATCTTTTGCAATTCTCATCCACTGTTTTCCAGCTACACCTGTTATATCGTCTATCCATCTCTTTTTGAGTCTTCCTACGCTTCTTTTTGTTTCTCGAGGTCTCCAGAATGTCACTATATGTGACCATCTGTTGGTGTCTTGTCTTGCTATATGTGCTACCCATTGCCATCTCAATGTCTCTATTTTTCCCATGATGTCGGTTACTTTAGTTCTTCGACGTATTTCGGTGTTAAGAATTTTGTCTCTGAGGCTTATATTTAACATGGCCCTCTTTATGGCCCGTTGAGTTACCCTTAATTGTTCTGCCATTTTTCTTGTTATTGCCATAGTTTCCAACCCATAAGTTGCAACTGGTAGTATACAAGTGTCACAGGTTTTTCGTTTTAAGTGAATTGGGATTTTATTGTCTTTTAAAATGAAGCTCAACTAAAATGAATATCTCGCAAATATTCTACTGGATGAATTCTAAAGGCACGATTCACGTAGTTGGTAACTTATGGCGAAAATGTGTCGTTTTGCGAACCTTACGACATCACCTTCATTGACATTTGCTGCACTATTTCAAGATCACTTTTATTAATAAAGCAGCTTATGAATATGTATGTTATTATTATGAAAAACACTTTCTTTTTAATCAGATAAGCCTGTTTCAATTTTAATTTGATTTTATCGCTAGGTTATTGCAGTCTATTGACTGCTACTCACAATTGATCGTTTTCCTGTATCTAGGTAGTTTTTCAAGAGACTTCAATGAATATCTCTAATCCTTTTTAAACCGTTTTGGCCTTCTCTGCGTGCGGAGAACCATTGAGTATTCATTTCTTTAAATGTGTTTAGTTTCGGCAATATCAAGATGGTTACAAGTTTAATTAATAATTATTGAATATTCTTCGGTTCGTGGGTAATTTCGGAAAAAAAAATGGCAAAAGACACTTAAACCGCTAAGTCTTTGCTGCGATATAAGTGGCTGCAGCACAGAACACCTGTTTTGTAGACTGTCTTTCAATTCGTCTGACATTTGACCCATTCCCATAAAATTTGTTAGCCAACTTTTTACTGTCTCTCCCAAAGCTATTCACACTTCCTCAAGAATATCAACTAGTTCCATTGACCAAATATACCTTTTTTTATCTTTTAACATTCATCAGTTAATTTTTATGGTCCTTTCTGATATTTTGGTTTAGTTTCACTTTTTATGTCGATATCCAGCACAAGCAACTGATGTTGTCTCATAGTCTTACTAACTATTACCTTGCAGTTTTTATATTCACATATATCATTATTTGCTCTATGTTTGTTTATGTTTATGTCTTTTAACTGTGTAAACAACAAATTATAACAGCAAGATACAGAACAACTGCAGCAGTATTTCATAAGATCAGACCAAATTGTATTAACCATCAAAGTTCCAATCTTATAATGTGCAAGAACGAGAAGACTGGGAGAAAAACTGGAAAGATATCGGAGAAGATATCTCATGATGATGTCACGGTATTTTGTAACAACTTAAAATAACAAGACGTACTAGTAGGTATTAAAATTGTACAAACGAAAAAGGTAATTCACCTATAATGGTATAAAAAAATTATTTTCGATGAATATAGAGGAAAGAATGATTCTGCAAATTGTCTAAAGTAAAACTTATAATGCAAAACTTGTTAGGTAGGTACAGTTAATAGAAGATCAAGAATGTCACTATCACTTTCATTCAATAACATTATTTAATAAGTTTTTTCTTTCAAGAAAAATCAATAGACTCTAACTAAACTGTTTGGAAACTTTTGCTGAAAAAAATAAATAAGGTCCTAGAAGACGAACAAATACGTAGAAGATTGTGGTTCTATAAATGACATCAATTTGTTTTTTCATATACTTAGGTACTGATGACAGGAATAACGACACGTTAATAATACCAAATATCGAATATACTGCTGGAGTACCTAGCTATAATATCACTACAATAACCGATATAGTCAAATCCATCCACGTATCACTTCATGCGTACCGAAAACAGAGATGGCAACTGAAAGTACGTATAGTCCGAAGTTCTACAAATATTTTAAGTGATATAATGTGTATAAAATAGATTAGATTAGAAACTAGAACAGCTTTCGACCTGACACACTGCAACCTTTATAGACCTCTTGTGCTCCGCTTTGTCAATTGTCAAAACTTCTCATTTAGCCGTGTCCAATTAAAGCCTTGAAAGGAGTTTTTTTCTATAGACTGGTGTTTCTGGTTTTTCCTCTCCGATTGCTAGATAGCGCAGCCTTGTGATGCCTTTACACTGACGTAAGACATACGGCGCGGTTTCCTCTTCTTCTAGACAGAACCGACAAGTGTCCTCTTCCGTAAAGCCCGTACGACTGAAATGCTTATTGAGCTTACAGTGTCCAGTCAGCAGTTCTACTATTATCCTGACAATCTCTCGATTGTGTGTCAATAAATCGGCTGTGAATTTGGCTAAATGTCTCTAAATAAACTCTTTAACCTGTGTTTGTCCTAGTATATGTCTCTACTATTACAAAGATGCATCTTGAAGACATTTATCAACGGCTGCTCTTTTGTAAGCATTCGCAACTTCAAAATAAGGTCCCGGGCCAGTTAGTGGTTCACAAGCACCTTTTCGGGCCAATTTATCAGCCTTCTCATATGTTAATATTACCTTATTTAATAGACTCCTTACATTATCCTTATGGGATCTTGACCCTGCATTAACCTATGTACTGTTGACCTGGCCTCTCTTTATAAATGTATAAAATAGAAAATATATCAATGTATATTTTTAAAAAATATGACAAATTATCTACTTATATTTGTGATTCGAAAACTGTACGTAATATAGCTTATATAAGTGCAAAGCAATTATTGTGGCAAAATTATCTTTTAGTAAGGAAAATATAGTAATATCTAGTAATTTTGAAATAGTCAAACCATCTCTCACAATGATCGTAATAAATAATAATAATTTGCATGATATCGGGTTCTTGCGGATGTGCTTGTAACCAAGTTTACGCAAATAATTTTCATATGCCATACAATACTAATAAAACTAATATACTATTAGAATCTACTAACTGTAACACTTATTGAAAATGAAGACACTGACAAAAATTAGGTACTTACCGATATTGCAGGTGGGTCCCGTCCATCCATTGCCGCACTCACAGCTGAAAGAGCCCCCGGCCTCAATGCAGGTGCCACCGTGCAGGCATGGCGCCGGGGCGCAGGGATTGTCGACGATCTCGCAGTTAGCACCAGAAAAACCCTCGGGGCACGTGCACAGGTAGTTATCGGGGGCGGTGTTTTCACAAGTGCCACCGTTTAGACAGGGCTCGTGCGTACCGCAGTAGTTTAGGTCTGAAATTAAAACAGGCAATTAGATACGCTCTGTTAATGGGTAATATAGAATTTGTAGAGATTGAAAGGTATGCGTTTGGTGCACAATAATTAAAAAATACCGTATGCAAGCGATCATTTCTATACTGTCAATATTTTCTCACTATTTTTTTTTTGTGTGTTTTGGCTTGGACAATTGTCATTCAGCCAGTCTCAATCAAGATAAGTTTATTAATGTAGTGTGTGTGTGTGTGTGTGTGTGTGTGTGTGTGTGTGTGTGTGTGTGTGTGTGTGTGTGTGTGTGTGTGTGTGTTTGTGTGTGTAGAGTAATTGTCTTGATACTTAGCAAAGTCGACGTCATTGTCTTTGCTAAGAGACGCTAATTGTATCCGAACGTCTGCGGTCCCTCCGGTGTGTACCGATCACACAAGGATAGAAATTATTTTCATTTATTAATTTTTTTAATAAACGAAAATTTCCACCCAGGTGGGATTCGAACTCACGACCTTTAGGTTTAAAGGCAGGCGCTCTTACCACTGAGCCACAGAGGGGGTTATATTTTCTCACTAGATTATTACTGAATCAATTGCTTAATAGAATTGCCATGTGGCTAATCAATTTAAAAGTGTGTTTTTAGCTTGTGTGGTCTTAAAAACTTATGTTATTATAATTTATTATTCTCCCTTTAATGGCACATTTGCAAAATTATCAAAGTAGGAGAACGCCTTTACTGACTATAAATTGTTTTTATTGTCAATTTTTGTCTTATGCTGCAATAAGCTCACAAAATGAATCCTATCCTATATTTTAAAAGTTTTCTATAGTTTTGTACCATTTAGGTAATTAAGAAATACCGTATAGTAGAGCAGTAGTACAGTAATTACTTAACTGTATCCTTTAATCAATACTTTTATGCTTTGAGTCCACCCCAGTGGACAGATTTTTTTAACTCAAAAAAATGTATTTTAATTCTATGAAACTTGAGCAAAAAGTAACTACTACCGCCATCTACAATATTTATATTGAAAGTCAAAGTTTGTTTATGTTAGTATCTACAAATCACCTGACCGCGAAATAAGTGCCGGTAGTCTCTATGGAAAAGCAAAAAAAGGTAAGAAAATATTTTTCTTATAAAATTATGTATTTTACACAATTAGCCTTTATCATAATTTCAAAATTATTGAAAAACTCACTGAAAATATCACCTTGTGATCACGTCCACTAGGGTGGACATCATGCAATATGTAACGTAGAATTACACTGTGCTGGCATGCTTTATGAGGATAATTTTCAGATGGGTAGTAGGTTTCTTGTTAACGTATTTTTTGTTATTTTCTTGTCAAAGATTTATTATTTATTTAGAGATTTTTAAGGACATTTTTTATGTACCCACCTATATTATTTTAGTTGAAATAAATAAATTTTATTCATTGACATAATATTACTTCTTCAATAGGAAATTTTATTCCATTTCAGAAAGTACCTTTTGCCGATGAAGACGACAATAGGGATGAAACACTACTAATTTAGGTTTACCAGAAAATGCTGGAAAATGCTACTCCCCGCTGGACAGACTAGGTGGCGTATTGATCTCCGATATGGTTCACGTAAATGGCTTATAGTTATATTGATATATGGGTGTGAATAAAGTATAACCATTTACATATGCATACCTATATCATGCTCAATCAGTAAACCACTAGACAGTAAATCATAAGATGAGATTTGTGCTGCGACTAATGTGTTCACCAATCCCGATCATCATCATGCTCAGAGAGTTCATGGTATAGGAAAAAAAGTGTTGCCTAAGCGATATCTCAGAGAGCTACTGAAATCTGGGGGATTACACCATTGGCACGGTACAATGCTTGACATCATTTTGTTCCAAATGATGAAAATAAAATGGAAACAAAAATAAAATGACAAAGAGATCGAGAGAGGTCCAGAAGACGATATAGAAATGAGTACGTTCTGAGTTTACAAATACAAATATAAAGCCTACGATAGAAGAGGCGACCCTCTCCTATCTTCAGCACAGTAAAGCAGCTTTGGAAGAACTTACTATTACCATGGCAAGTTACGATGTCACCTTGATAAAGAGCCAGCCCTGAATCTAATAGGTTCAAATAAAAGATCGATCATGTGTTGATGACGAAATTATATAAAGCAGTCATCTTCTTAGTCGTTAACCTGATGCAGGTATCGTGATATCATGAAGCTGTTAGGTAATTTTTCTAATGTTCCTCCACGTTTTTCTATCTTCTGCCAATCTAGCACATTCTGACAATGGAGCGCCAATGGTAGCAACAATATGGTCCGTGTATCGTGTAGGAGATCTACCTCTACTTCTTTTGCCTTGTACTTTTCCCTGGATGGTAAGTTTTTCAAGACCATTTCTTCGAAGCACATGTCCAAAATAGCTTATTATCTGTTCTGTTATTTGTGTTCTTAGTCTTTTCTTTATGTTTAGCTGGACCAGTATGGATTCATTTGTTCTTCGGGCCACCCATGGTATTCTCAGCATTCGTCTCCAGCAGTACATCTCAAATACATCTATGTTCTTTTTGTCTTTCTCAGTAAGGGACCAGCATTCCGATGCATAAGTAAAAACTGGAAAAACTAGACTTCTTACTAGTCTCATTTTTGTATCGGTAGTAATTTCATGGCTTTTCCAAATTTTTGTTAATTTTGCCATAGCGCTTTTTGCGATTGCTGACCGCCGCTTTATTTCTTCAGTACAGCCTCCTTTGTTGGTTATTAATGAGCCCAGATACACAAATTTATCTACACCAGCGATATTGTTTATCCTAACCAGATGATTTTGATTGTTGTTAGCTCTGTCAATTATCATGATTCTCGTTTTATCCCTGTTTATTTTAAGGCCCATCGTTAAGCTTACGTCTTCTATCCGTTGTAGCAGGTGAATCAATTCAGTTTCAGAACTAGCGAGGATAGTAGTATCATCTGCATATCTCAAGTTGCAAATCTTCTGCCCGCCAATGGTGATGCCACCGTTCCAGTCCTCAGTAGCTTTCCGCATTATCCATTCACCATAGATGTTAAATAAAATTGGGCTTAGTATGCAGCCTTGTCTCACGCCCTTTGTGACCCTGAAACTGTCAGTTAGTTCCCCATTTATTCTAACTCTGGCATAATTGTTATTGTACAGGCTTTTAATTAGCAGTATCAGATGATTAGGGACTCCCATTTCAGACAAAACCTGCCACATTTTACTCCAGTTGACCAAATCGAAAGCTTTACTATAATCTATGAAGCACAAATATGTAGTGATGTTGAATTCTCCGGATTTTTCTACAATCTGCCGTACGTTTAAAATTTGTTCTCTAGTACCACGTCCTGGGACGAAACCTGCTTGTTCCTCCGCAATGTTAGGTAGTAAAAAGGGCTTTATCCTCTCGAGAATTATGTGTAAGAGTATCTTACTGCAATGCGCAATTAGAGCAATTGTGCAATAGTTGCTACATAAATCTTTCGCTCCCTTTTTATGTATGGGAATATATAGTGATTGTGTCCAGTCCTCAGGCCATTTACCTGTCTCCCACACTCTTCGACAAATTTGATGTATTATATCCACTCCAACGTCATCTAGGGCCCAAATCATTTCGATAGGTATGTTATCTGGACCGGCATCTTTTTGACTTTTTTGCCTCATAATTGCTGCTTCAACTTCACTTTTGAGTACGTCAGGTTCCGTCGCAAAACTGGCATCTTCTTGTTGTGATGGGGCGTCTGTGCTTTCCTCCATCATCAGTCGTTCACAGTATTCTTTCCATCTGTGTAAAATATCTTTTTTAGAAGTGAGTAGAGTTCCGTTATCATCTTTGATAGCTGGGTAGTTTGGTGTAAAGGAACGTGTTATCTGCTTTATTTTTTTAAACATGTCTCTGGTCTCAGTTTTGGTTTTATACCCTTCTATTTCCATGCAGATTTTGTTCAAGTGTGTGTTCTTGTCCTTTTTGCAGAGTCGTTTTATTTGACCGTTCAGCGCTTTATAGGCCTCTTTATCACTTTCACTGTTCAGTCCTGTGGCTTTTAAGCACTTCCTCTCCTGTATTTTAGTACACGTGGAGTCTGTTATCCATTGTTTCCCTCTTTCTTCTCTATCACTCTTAATATTTTTCGCAGCATTATGCAATATGGATTTTGTTTTTGTCCATATGCTGTTTGAGGACTCGTCTGGATTTAATGATTGAGGTCACATAGCTTTTGCATTGCGGCTTTTTTGTACGGATCGTTATATCTTAGATGCCATTTAGTTGTTGTATTTCCTGTTTTTGGACTGTTTCTTAACTTCATGCGGAATTCAGCTGATTAAAATTGATGGTCGCTATTACAATCTTTTCCTGGATAGGTCTTAACATCCTTAAAAGCGCTCCTCCAACGGGTTTTTACCAGTATAAAATCTATCTGATTTCTGTATCTATTTCCTGGTGATATCCAAGTGTATAGTCGTCTTGGGTGATGTTGAAAGCCTGTATGAGTAACAAACAGGTTGTTGTCTATACAAAAGTGTAGCAAGCGTTCTCCTCTGTCATTTCTTTGGCCAAGTCCATATAATCCGACGGTCTCTCGCAAGTAATGATCTTCTGTAGTTACACCAATTTTAGCGTTGAATTCGCCTACGACTGCTGTGTTAGTCATATATTTGTCTAAAAGACGGACGATAAAAGTATGTTTAGACAACATTGAAAATGATTGGCAACCTTCTTCTTCTTTGAGTGCCATATCCCTACGGAACGTCGGTGACTACCATGCTTATAATATTATACTGATCTCGGTCTTGGGCTACGTGTAGCAATAGGTCCGCTGTCAAACCTGTCCACTGCCGCAAATTCCTCAACCAAGAGAGTTTCTTCCGTCCTATCCATTTCTTTCCTTCGATTTTACCGTTGAAAATTAGCCGAAGGAACTCATATCTTGGTCCTCTAATTATATGTCCAAGATATTCTAGTTTACGCCTCTTAATAATATTTAATAGCAACCTAGATGTAAGCAATTAT